GCCAATATTCGAGCTGCGTGTTGAATATCTTACAAACCACTTCATTACTCGTTCATACAGTGATTAAAAGTTGAAAAGCAAAAAATAGTCAAATAGCACTGTACCATGAAGTGTGTTCTAATATTTGAGTTTTTGATTTTTCCAAACTTCCTGTTTCAGGCGAAGTATATACCCCCCTAGTGGGATGAGCTCACTTTCTAGAGCTATCAGAGAAGTGATAGCTTGAAGAGCGAAGAGTTCCCGCTCCTTCGAGAGGGTTTTTAGCAATGTAGTGATTACAGCTAGCAGAATGTCCTCTTATCTTTACTTATCAATTGATAAAATTGCTTGTCACCCGTCATCAATGTCGCTATCACTAGTGTAAGCCTCTGGGTTGTCTAGTAGATGGGAACTTAATGGTAAGCTGAACAGTGACTTTGCTTAAGCTTCGTCATTGCAGGATTCGCCCACGTGCGCGCCGGATATATAAGATGCCGTGTGACTCATACGAGGTCTTCGCCTGCCACCGCCAGCCGCACGACCGGATGCGGCCACCCGTCTGTCGTGCGTCGCCGCAGCCACGCCGTACCTCTTAGTCAAGCCTGTTCCCCATATTGGGGTGTACGAATAAAGATTGAGTGGTATTCGCTGTTCTGCAGTAGTATTGGGGAGGTCTGAGGGATGGAACCCTCAGACCTATGACTAAAACTCCATAATTTCGTGGTGTAAAGGCTCCAGCATTTGACTGAACAAGACTGCAAAAATTTTTATCAGCCCCTATCAGCCTTTATCACTTTCCTGTCACCACTCGCACGTCGCTGTCTCTACCTTTCCCCGTTGATATTCATTTTGCTGGAATCAAGCGCCTAATTGGTGGGCTTCTGTTTTCCCGCTGTTGATGAGTATGTGACCCTTCCCATTCTAACTCCCCTTATCGCATCTTATCAGCAGCTAGCTGTTCTTGTCACCCACATAATTTTGTGCCATAACCTATAACATACCTGGCTCTGCTTCCTTCCCTTGCGCAAGCTCCACCCCACCCTGCCCCCGCACGAGCACACGTCCAGCCACGCCAGCAGCTCATGCAATGGCTCGGAGTGTACCGAATGATTGTCTTATATAGCGGAGGCTGTTATCCTAACCAAAAACATTGGATTGATACATCTGCACCAATCGGTTCCGGTTTGCTTAGCGGTCGTTCTTCCTTCCACTAATTCTAACCCGTGAAGCATTTTGCGGACGGACAGACATACATGTATACATACTCACCCAGTTACATACATACGAACCGACCACACAAATTATAGTGTTTGCTTCAGAATAGAAGGATTACCAGCCGGCTTTGCGCGCTTGAGTATGCCTGCACACCTTCTTTACTAAATAAAGAATGGATTCCTTAGCGGTCCCGCTCCGCCCGCCACTTAGCTTTCTCCTCACCGGCTTTTCTTTTATACAGATAGTCAACAATCTTTGACCAATATGTTCATACGAGTAGCTCACTTATAGTGCACTACATGATTCTTTTATATAGTGAGGTTGTAAACAATCACACATTGCCTCAAAGTGATACCAAAACATGGATTTTATTCGCGCGACTCTGTTACGACATAGCGAGTTGCATCCTTCCTCATTCACCTTAATCCGCTTTCATTCGGCGCTTTTATTACAACCGTGATGAGTTCTACCTAAACCCACCTATGGCTTCCCCTCCCCTTACTCCTCCCTTCACTAATCCACCACCCACATCTATTACCCCCTCCCCCCACTCCTACATGCCCCATCCACTCCCCATCCCGGCCGCTGCACGTGCTCACGTCCACCTGCCACGCGAGCAGCTCGTGCAATGGTTTGGAGTGTACTACATGGTTCTCTAATACTCACCCGCGCTGACACCACACAACGCATTGGAGATACATCGCCACCAACATTGGTTTCGCCACCGGCAGCGCGTCGTATATCTCCTACACTGCTCCTTTGAACGTGAGGGCATTTCGCCGCGACGGAGCATACCATACATGTCATACATAGCTATACCCGATCAAACCGTACACACAGGAGTTAGTGGGTTGTATGAGAAATCCTCACGTATATATAACCGCTATTGTGTGTGTGTGTGTGTGTGTGTGTGTGTGTGTGTGTGTGTGTGTGTGTGTGTGTGTGTCACGAAATTCATAGCGAGCGTCGCAGAAAAGATAGGATGACAGTTCCAAGAAGTGATATACATGGCAGGACGGGAACACTTTTGGTGGGTGTCAGAGGTGATAAACACTTCGATAAAGATACGATTAAGGCCGAGCTAGGGGGGGGGGTGACTGAATTCGTAGCGCAAGTTGCAGCAGGTGTGGGACCGTGATTTTAAGGAGTGATATACATGGCAGGACGGGAACACTTTTGATGGGTGACAGGAGGTTGATGAGCGACTGGTGGATAGGAGATGCGATGAAGGGCGTTGAGAAGGGGGGGGAGCCGAAACGGGTAGCGCCGAATTTTGCGGGCGAGGGCTGCAGGACCGTGATTTCAAGAAGTGATATACATGGCAGGACGGAAACACTTTAGGTGCGTGACAGGAGGTGATGACACTTGATAAGATTCGATAAGGGGCTAAAAGGGGAGGGTGACCGAATTCGTGGCAAGTTGCAGCAACAGCGGGACCATGATTTCAAGTATATATACTGCCGTAGGTCGGGGGCGGCAGAAGCTGATAACAGTTGATAAGATCCGATAAGGGGCCTCGGAAGAGGAGGGTCATCAAATTCGTGGCGCAGGTTACAGCAACAGTGGGAACTCAGATCCGTGGTGAGATAGGGCCTTGACGGTGATATAGGTGCTGACGACCGGGGAACATTATCTGGCGCCTGAACAGAAACACGTAGATAAACAGTCACACCCACACGTAAGCGCTGCGAAGGGAGGTCATCAGATTACGTACACGCAGGTATACAGCTAACAGTGGCGGACCGTCTCATCCGAAAAGGCGATACAGGGTGAAGGTAGATATTACGGGACGGAATTTACATGGCGGGTACCGAATGATAAGAGCTAAATCTGACAAGTATGCATTGGCGAACAATGCCCGTCCACCGCTCACAACAACAATGCGATCGATATGACTCAAGTATAACGATCTCAGTGATTCCAACAGAACTCATTCCTCACTGCTTATTAGTAACGACATCGTGTACGACCGCTAAGCCGCTCTATTCCAAATGCATGTGGTCGTCAGTGTTTACGAGATATGTTTATTGAAGACAGCTACCTCCTACTTTACTCACCTGCTACCACAACTATTCCATCCAGCAAACTTCATGAGGCCATCTTACAAGCCGGTTCCACGGCTGAATGGCGGGAGCGCATATCGCAAAGCAAGACCGTTAGTAAGACAGACTTGCAGTGAAAATTATAGACTGCTTCAGTGTGTCAAACAGGCTGATCTACACGTATTTCCGTGTTAGATTATGAACGTAACCAGTACGGATCGACTGGCTAAGGTAGGTTTCCTCCTTCTGTGAGCAGGGCGGGGGGGCGTGCTGCGCGTTCGCGCTTTGACGGAAGCAGGGCGCTGGCGTTGTCGAGGTTCTGGTGGCTGATGGCGAGGAAGATTCCTTGGGGTTCGAACAGTGTGGTTGGTCGAGGAGAGTCGATCCTTTAACTGTGAACACGCGCAATCCGCAATGTCCCGCGAAGCCAGGTGGCGCTATGTCACAGATAGGTGGAGACGCCCGTGGCTGTCGCCGATCCAGATTCTGGTGTATAGGAGTAGTTGAATCCGCTAAGTGTGTGTCTGCGTCTATGTGTGTGTTAAGTGTGTTATGAAACATGCCGATAGAACCTCAACATTAGGATAAGTGATGTAGGTGGTTGGGCAGGAACACTATTGCTGGGTGGCAGGGAGTGATAACAGCCGATAAGATACCGTAGCGGGTCTTACAACGGGAGGATTGCCAACTTCATAGCGCAGCCCATAGCAACTGTAGAGCGTTGGTTCCAGACAGAAAAATGGGGGACAGGATGGGAACATTATTGGTGGGTGGCAGGAATGATAACAGCTGATAAGATACCGTGAAGGGCCCTAGAAAGGGATTATCACCAACTTCATAACGTGCGTCGCAGCGACGGTAGGACTTGGTTGCAACCAGTGATATAGGAGGCAGGATGGGAAAGGTGAGTCAGAGAGGAAGCCTCCAGGTCAATGGGCAAAGGCTTAGTGAGCCAAGATGTTTCTATTCCTCAGCAATATAGTCGAAATTGATTCGACCGCTAAACTCTAGAGTTTCACCCAAAAGTAAAAGCCTAAAGATGTTTGTCAGTGAGGAATGATAAGAGCCACCAGCAGACGGATAAAGCTGCTCAACGGAAGCGCTAGGATATAACAAACTTTCACTAAGATTTCTATATTGTTACCACCGAATTTCTTTCAACCGCTAAGCCGTCCTATTTCCAGCGAATGGTGGGTGTTTTTTAAATGTGATAAGCACCAGACATTGGCAAACGTTCACGTTCATTAAAAAGGAGAAATATTATGAAATGGGCCGTATTCCAAGACATGGGGATTAGGCCAAGTGTTAGCGGTCAGCACAGAGATCCTGTCAGTGATCAGTACCATAGGTTTGACCATGCGCGCAGTAGTGCGCGTCAGCCAAACTGATATACGTACAAATCAGTTGGATAGCTCAAGTCACGCTGGATGGTCTTTCTTTCTGGAGTAGGGGAACTTTTAAAGTGAACAAGATGAAATCTAAAGTGAGCAAGATGAAATTTAAAGTGAACAAGAAGAAATCACTCGTGTTCAGCAAGGTACTCCAACAACTAACCACTTTGTAAAATGAAGGTACTCGTAAGCCACCTTGCGCAGGTAATTGCACCATGTAACTACGGGTTGAAAGCTGAAAAAGCACGATGCCTTTGCCTCGATTCGCTCATGTTGCCTGTTCATAAGTCGGTGTGGTCTTAACCGCCAAAACTGTTTATTAGATTGACAATATGGTCACAGTACGAAACGAATAGCTATGACTGCATATCGTCTACTGTTCAATGCTTAGAGCTGTAATCACGTCTTCTGTCTCAAGATTATCTTCTACATTCCTGCATTTGACAAGTGTTCTCAGTTTTCCTGGGCTTATCCTGAAACACTACTCCCTCCACCATCTGAAAACGACAACGATACTATGAATAAGAGCACTTACGGCATTGCAGTTAGCATAGTGTCGGCATCCCTCCGTGTAGCGGACGGTGGCATGGCTGAGGCATGCGTGCCCGGGGTCATGCTGAAAATCGTTTCTACCAAGTTCTTAACTAAGAGTCGTGGAGGTGTTTATTCCGCCTTTCCTTCTATTCTACTTAGCAGTATTTTTCTAGTACGAAAGTCAGCGATCTTCTTGCCGCCACTGCGGCTCTCTTATTATAGCTCTGAAGGCGGCAGTCACAATAAGGAAGGGTCAATCACATCTTTCCAAACTTTTGGTTCCTTCATAGTAGTCGGGCTCTGTCTGATCCGCGGATACAGTGGTCCCAAGCTGGGACCCATGACTCTCCGACCATAAAGTTTCGAAGTTGCGTTACTCTTTCGAAATGCAATATATAAGTTGAGGTTGATAGTAATAATCGTTACTTTGTACTATTCTCATCCCAAATAACCAATTCGATACGTCTGCTTCGTTTTATTGTTATTTATCGGACAAGGAGCTATATGTACCTCATAACAGTGTCCGTGCTTAGCGACATCACGGCTGCCGTGGATATCTGATCACTATCGAATGGCGTTGCACTTGTTTTGCAGTATCCACTGGAATCGGAAAATGTGGTAACCCACCTTATTACAAATTCTGTGCTAGGGAACGTTTCATTTTTTCAAAGGACTTTTTTCTCCGATTACCATGAGAGTTAGCCTCAAGACGAGTCTGCGATTACACAATGAGCAGAAGCTCTCCCTTTCGCAATGTCGCGCAGACAGATAACGAAAAGGTCTTTCGTAATTCGATAATGCTTCACAATAATGTCATAACTCCGCCATTACTGGACCTACGCACCCTAGTACCTTCCATTTAATCTTTTCCGTCGCTTTACTGTCGGTTCTGAGTGGGCGCTGCTGCGTGCTTTATTGGACGCAGAGCTGGTGCACTTATGTGGAACGTTGCCATTTCGAGATGGTTGTGTGTCGGTGCTGTTTGGCTTGGGAGGGGCAGTTTCCCAGTTCGCTAGCTTCAGTGTCTATGACGTTGGGGATTTTGGTCGAGTCCGTAGATCCCCCTCTCATAATAGCAATAGGTGGCTTGCGAGTGCTGCACCGATTCGAGTAGGTGAGGGCTTCGGTTTTTTTTTCCAGTGGGCTGTCTAGGCCGCTGGAGAGAGAATTTTCGTATGCCGTGTGCCTTCGCCGATGTCCCTACCGGCACGCTTCTTCCTAAATTTTTGCCAACGCTCCCCTGCATTTTTTCCTAGGCCCTGTACGTGAATTCGCGTAAAGTTTCACTTTACTTTGGCCGCCCAGTTTTGGTCTACTGAGCGAAAGGGACGGGTGAGGGGGAGGAAACGCCGCGAAACCAACTCGCAAGGAAAAAACCCAACTGAGGTCAGCATACCGAAAAATTTTCACTAAAACGCGCGCATATATTCTTTCCAAACAGGCCGCATACTAACCCGTGTCCCCTCCCACTCGTCGTCAGCGAGTACGTATCCTCCCCGCCCCCTCCTACAATCTCCCCTCTCCAGCGACCAGTTACGACCGCAATGTTGGGGAATACCCAGCGATGATGGAGAGCAAGCACACCAGCGAGTGGGACGGCAGACAGCAACGCGAGGTGGTGCCACTCGCGGATCAAGCATGAAGCCGCTTGCTCGTAGTACACTGCACCATTATAATCTTAGAACATTTTATACTGGCAATCTGGCAGTTCACTTGTTGATCCATCAGCTTACCGTGCTTTAATGCATCGGCCATGTCTCGAAATTCTTAAGAAATCGCTGAGAAGGTGGTGCCTTTAGTCATGCTTCTTCATCTCAAAAACAAAAGGTAAGCCAATCAGTCAACCGTCAAACCATCGACTCACCTGCTTTACTAACCTAAGTACCATAACGACAAGAAACATACGAATCTTGCATAGTGGTGAGTCCTTTTTGTTCCCTTTTTGTCAGCAGCGGTGGGGCACTCCTGAACAAAGGTCCTATTTCTATAAATAAGCAGGAATAAATGTGGTGAGGGGTCAGCGTATGCTCATGAAAGGTTTCTCAGAAAGATGCAGCACTGAGATGGCAGACCAAGTGCTTCCTGCTTTCTACAGAACCGAAGCGGAACATGTTCTCAATAGAATGATGAATGGTAGCGAAGTTATCAGGTACGGCATTGCTGATTTCACTGTGAGCGGAATCGGACATCAGTGCAGCCATGTCAAGTGTGTGAGGCTTTGCTGTGATCACGGATGGCTGCCTGCCAAATAAGCTTCGGTTATACACTTTTAGTTCCATCGCAAGACCGCCAAGTTATAGACAAGAACGTTTTGCGTCAGCCATTACTTGAAACCAAGCCCAATACTATCCCGGCTGCACGCTTTTCCCTACATCGACAGATTTACGTTCTACCTCCCCTCTTCATCAATGGTCTGCTCGTCAGCTCTTAAAAGTATAATGTTATGGTTCTTATATTCATAGAAACAGTATGGAATCGTCGTGGAACGTGCAGCAGTCGTCCGGTGGGATTCTCTTGCAAGCGGCTGCGACGTCGCGTCCGTAAGTATATTTTCCGGCTGAAGTGACTGAAGGTGCATTTGAGATTGTTGGAATTCGGAATGGAACGGCATCCGAAGGCGTGTGGGCCCGCCCTCGTCGTTTTCTACCTTAACGCGACTCCTGTTGGTAGAAGACGCAGCTTCGCGTGGGCTACGTGTTACCACGCTGCCTGACATCGCCCCGCCGGAATACGACGATATCAAGCAACAGTGAAAGCAGCAGGCTATGTATGCGGTAGTATTTGTGGACAACGGGAAATCCGCCGCTTGCCTGGACACGAAAAGAACCACTGAGCAGGTCGTTGCGATGCGCAGCGTTTGGACGACTGCCCTGCTAGAGATTTAGGTCGAAACATAAACCGATGTGCGCGATAGTAGAACCAAGCGTAGAGCAGGTCATTGCACCCTTTTATGGGAATAAAAGATTGGAGCTCTAGGAATCCGTCGTCATGGTTGTCGCGCTCTCACCTATGACTAGATCGACTATAGGAAGACCAAAGTTTTAGTAACAGAAAACAACATTACTTCTTGAAGGGACTACTCCATTCGAGGAATGGATTGCTCTCGGCGTAAATGCGCAATATCGAGCTTCCATGTTGCAGGTTTTCCAAAGAGCTATCTCCGACTCGTTGACAGTTCGACTCTGCTCAGAGCAGTGTTTTAGTTCTAGCCCACCCTATTCACAATAGCTCATTTGGGTCGCGGAAAGTAGTGGCATAATTTGCCTTTCCTGGTTGAGCACTTCGTCGCTCCAAGATATCCAGAAATATGTTCCGAGGTTCACTTTAAAGGCAGTGTCCGCGTTTTGAGACCTTCCTATCCTTCGTGAGCAGGTAACTAGGTCGGCAGAGGGCGATGCAGCCCATTTTTTTTTCTTTCAAGGCGCAAAAACGAGTGAGGATGCACACGATGCCGTGTTTTCTCATGGGCCACATTAATCATTGCACCGCACCCCAATTCATTTCTAATGGTTGCCTGATGGTGCGGTTGTTCCATTGCTGCTTCTCTCCACGTCGAGTGGTGAGAGTGAGGTGATAAGGGAAAACAGCTGATATCAACAAGTGAGAACTCGTGCGATCGCACCTTCTCTTCGCCCAGAGGCAGCGCCGCGTTCAATTTGATGAGGGGCTCAGACAGTGACAACAAGGTAGCAAGTCGCTCATTAGTTAAGAAAAATGCAAACAAATCATCGGATATGCCCTATAAAGGACTCCACGACGAAATGAGGTGTACGGTGCTAAGGTGAAGAGAGGCGCGCGTACAGTTCTCACATGTCGGATATCAGCTGTTTTCCCTTATCATCTCACTGTCACCATTCGAAGTGGAGAGAGTTAGTAGCAGAACAACCGCACCATCAGGCAACCACTAGAATAGGGGAGAGGTGGAAACAAATGAAGCGCGGCGCTGCTTTAGGCAGCGTAACTCGAATACAGCAATGGGCTTTAGAAGTCAGGGCTTCCTAATTGTTCTTTTGATTTTCTCCACTAATGGGTTACTTGTTACCTTGTTATAACTATCTGAGCCGCATAACATATCTAATTTGAGTGCGGGCTCAGCCTTTAATAAAGAGCGTGACGTGTGACAGTGACTAAAAGTGTCTTGAACGTTGGTGGAATACCCACAAAAACCATCAGTGAGTCCGTTTACGGCCATACTTGATTAAGGACGTTTACGGACGTTGGTTTATACGGCTTGATTCATTTCGTGTAAGGTGAAGTGGAGGAGGTTATCCAGAGGAGAAAGATCAGCAAAACCTGTGGGACCTGAGCCCGCCTCAATGAATTGAACCTAATTAGCCTACTGTAGGCCTTTCAAGGCCTACGATTCTTCCGCATATTATGTACGGGTCTGCACCAAAGTTAATCTTGGAAACTTCCCAGACATAGTGTTGTGCATTATTAGACGTTACCCGTCATATAACTCTGCCATGCTTGTTACGGCCTCCACTACTGTATCTGGACGATTGTGAACCACATCTACGATTATCTCGTCATTATCACTGAAAGTAGTAATGCTTTATGTATACGGCTAGAGGTGCTAGCCTTTTTGCTCTACATAGACTTGCACCCACCCCTCTCTGGATGTAGACGGCATTGAGACTGGCATCGGCACTTCGAACACCGAGCTTTTGCCGCTTGAAACATCGCTGAAAGTGAACTGGGCAGGACTATCTGAGCAAGCATTCTTCATTAGGCGACATACCCTGTGATACTTGCGCTCGAGTCAGATGTATACGGGGTTGCCATGATGTTCGCGACAGGTTGTAGAGCAGGGCTAGGTTGAAGTCCTACCGGATTCTGTAACAATTTTGCAGTATTCAAGTTTTCAGTGAACCAGTATTTGGGCGTGTCATAAATATTATTCAATTATAGATCTCTATGAACGCTAACCATGTAAGTATCTGAT